AAATAACCCAAGTCTTTGTATAACCCTCAGGTACTTGTATTTCAAATGTGGTTGAAATTCAGCATGCCGTTCTCTAATTATAGTAGTTGCTGTATTGGAAGCACATCTCAATAGAAGCGCACAAGGAATTACATTATTATATACTTGATCATTAAAATATGACTTATTTTGGCCTTTGACAAACCTCTATAACTGGTTATAGTAAGCTAACATGAGTTTACCACTCAATTAGCGGGTAGGTAAATTAAAGTGAGCAAAAAATGGTAAGTTCAACAATCAGTGTGGGGAGAAAAATTCAATACTTTCAATATACAATTGGTTGCAAGTTGTTCATTGTATGTTGCAATACTGTTACTCTGAAGCTAATCAGCATCTGAAGCAAACAGATCACCATCTAGGTCAAACGCAATGTATAAATATATATATATCTTCCCAAAATTTTACCAAGTTTGGTCGATTTTCAGGAATTCTTATAGATAGAAACAAACATAAAATCAATGTGAATCAACATCAAAATCAAGTGAATGTTGAAGGGCTTCAAAACCTGGTTTACATGTTTCTGTTTAAAACTCCCTTTTCATGCAGTCTCTGTCAAACTGTGCTGGGCTGCTAGATTCCTGCCATAAATATACATATATACGGGAAATAAATATGCTAAGTCCGGTTTGTTTATAGTCTAATAATAAAAAGAAACATGGCTTCCACTAGAGTTTGACCGGACTCCACACAAAGAAGTTTTAAACGTTGTACTGTCTTCGTGCATACACTGAGGTATCCTCATTATAACCTCGTATTATTAACAGAATTGTTCACCATTACTAAGATTTGAAAGCATGTTTTATACTTACGAAAATGTGAGCCATGATCACTGCCGTATTTCCTTGCGTATATCACATCAAAACATAGCGCTGTGTACATGGACTGTGTCAGGGGCTTATATATAAGTAACATAATACGGACAACCATTGAACATTAGTTCGCTCCGATCAACACAGCGTAGAGCTAATCAAAACATAAACCTGCCGCACGCCCTCATACGGCACATTTATCTATTCATTTGTTTGCGAACATTTATAAATTTTTCAATTGGTCATACTAAAATCAAACTGAAATAACGAAACACGCAAATATCCACCATTAAAAAAATCCAGGGGGTCGGTTCTTACCGAATTGGTTCGTCTCGTCTCGTTTCGTCTCGATTCGGGTTTTACATTCTGCCTGGAACAACGGGTCAACACCCAACTCTGGGTGTGTGTTATATTTCCGGGGTTATATTATAAAAGAAGGTATTCTCAAAGCCAAGCAAAATACCCCAAATTCAGTTTAGACAGTGGCATCTATTCCCCAGACGACAATCCAACGAATCCCAAACACGATATACATGTACACTCTACCCCTTTTCCTACCCCTATTCTCCAATGAAATATGGAAAAACGAAGCATGTTTAAGAACACACGACAAGTACATTTTTGATGTAATTATTTAGTAGTGAATCAGAAGTAGTCAACGACCTAGTATAGAAAGCTGCGATTTTCAGAATTTATATCTCCGAAAATCAAATTTGTACTCCGGTTATTCTGCGTAAATAACAAAACAGAGCTTTTCGTATTGTCCGTCGTCCACCAATTACAGGATTGCTTTGATACGATATGCTTTGATAAATCTCTCAGATGTGTCCATTTCGTGTCGATATTAATATTTATATATGTTTAGCGAATATTTTTGGTTATTTTTGTTTTCCAAAAAATGACATTTTTGACTTTTTCTTGAAAACTGCCCGCCTGATTACTTTGATATGTTATATAGGAAACTTGAGTGGAAATCTACCAGATTTGTTCATTTCTTGAATATATCAATAATTCAAAGTATTTTAAGCAAATACTTTTTTTTTTCATTTTTGGTGAAACATAATATGACCCCTTTTTAAAATCTACCAGTCCAATTGCTTATTTGATTTCGCTACCACAATGTTTGTTTAGTTTAAGTAACAGGTTAACTGAATCTACAAAATACACAGTGGCATATATATGTTACCGCTTGAAGCACCCTGAAATATCAGATAAATTATAAAATACAAAGTCAGTTGTGTATTATACACGAATAAATATTGTATTGTAAAGACAGTCTGATAAATTGTTTATTCCATATATCTATTTCACAGCTTGTAAAGGCAAAAATCCAACACAGTTTACGAGTGTATGTGTGTTCAGGTCATCGTAAAGCATAATAGATTGACGTGGCCTTGGTCGTGGCCGTTTCGCAATTCGTGAAAAATCACAATGTACATGGGTGGAAAAAAATGTTTGAGTTTGAGTTTAGAAGAATTTTAAATGACGTCTTGGCAATGTTCGAATTATTTTACTGTGTAAAACTACCAACATAGATAGTATATACTAAGTAGCAGTATTTAAAATAGTCAGCAATTAAGACGAGAGTTCATTCTGCTTGCATGGTCCAATCAAATTATCAGGATTATTATTACATTGTATGAAGAAAAATTATATTATTACACTGCTTTAGTAAACTGAACTGTCATAATCTATGGGATAAATGTATTATCATCCGGGAACCAGATAACAGTCATGCAATACTGAACGTATATGCTTGCTACATATATCTTGCGACCTTGAGAAATAGGTCGGCTTGTCATACTGACGGTCATTATGTTCTAACGGGCGCTTTGATGAGCCATGCTTGTCCTGATCACATGCACGTATTGTTTATGCTTATCATTTCATTTATTTCTTCATTCATATATGACTGCTGTAACTGCCAGTTGACTTCGAGTGACCGGTGGATATGTTATTCGCTCAACACAGCATGACAATCAATCGCTGACCGATGTACTGTACTGTGCAAAGGTCGACGTTACACCTCACAAAAGTGTGTAAACCTCGTATTAAGTTTGGTAACCTCTGGTGCTTGCAAGCGCCCTTTACCTGGTAGATTGTATATTGGTTCAGTGGTTCAGTTCTGTTCTATACCGCTGTAATTAAAACGGGATACACGGTAAGTAACACGTTTGATGTGTCATGTTTTTTTGACATTGACACGATTACGCAGATTTAAGGTTGATTTAGGGGGTCAATATTTTATATTTATTTTCCTTCCTATCATATCGATTACTGTATATTTGTATGAAAATACAACTAGACTGTACGCCATTCATTTATAAATCAAACACTGGTAGAATCAATGTCTGCCAGGCAACACGTGCTTGTAGGGTTTATTTGCGACTGAAGTGTGTGTCACATTTCGTCAGTGTATAAGTTACTGTACTGGTTTGCTGCATTAACATTGACTAACTGTATAACATTGTATAAATTTCTTATCGTATATACACTGATTGATGTGATAGATTACGGAAATAACATGTCTGTTTTCATCTTTGGTGTCGATATTTATTCGTGCAATAAATTGGGTAGTTTTTAATCAAACAACCGTATTTCATCGAATTATTTCCGTTATTATATAGGTTATTGTGTAATGAACGTTTCTTAACCTAATATATGTAATAGATCAATATTTTGCACATATGAATACGAAAGCCTAAATTCTGACTCAATTAAATGACGATTCGCGTAAAAATAAGCTTGATTTTGTTGCTGATTTTGATTGCTGGTTAGGTGAAATTTAAACGCATTATTGATCAAGGACCAGCGTGACGACTACATCCACAATGCAACGCACATTCCAATTTGAAGAAGACCTGCCATCATTACCGGTGCCGTCATTACAACATACGCTCACTAGATACATAGAATCTGGTATGTATTCACACATCAGTTTTATATGAGGTTATCAAGAAAATACCGAAGGCAGTATCGAATTCGTGTCGGCCGACGTGTAGCGTCAGATATAAAACGAAGGTTCAGGTTACATTAGCCTTATTAACTAAGTTCTATATGATACAAGTAACCTGTAGAATACTGTGTGGGTAATATTTTTATATCGATTTTTGTTGCATTTGCAGCAAATAGTTACCAAACAATGAGAAATCTATAGGTTTGAATATACCCCACAGCTGGCTTCACATGCATTGTTCATAGTTCATATGGTGCTTACACCAGGATTTAATTACAGCACCTAGGCGGTATGTGGTTACAGCTTAATGTTCCGAGTAATCGCAAGAAATTGACATGACAATAGAAATTCATTAAAGACTGGCACTCCCATGCAATTAACAGCGAGTGAAATTCCTGAGATTGAAACATATATTTTGAAGTCACTGATGTAGGCAACGAATAACTGCAAGTTAACATAAAGACGAGGTAGTTTATTTAATCAGTGGTCAACTAGAGACTGAAATTATAATTAATTTGTTTATTTCAATTTCTCCTGACGTCAAATAGAATACACTGGTGAAACACGGTAGTAACTGTGGGTGAAAGGATGTTTTGGAGTGTAGTTTACATTGTATATGGAGTGGTAGGG